ACAGCAAAAAGCTGGTGAAAGCCTTGGAGGCCACCTCTGATGCCTCAAGACATGTACAAAAGGCCACGCAGGCCAGCGGTATTTACAGAAATGGTGACCCTCTTCAGTGACATTGGCTGGAATTTAAGTACAGTTCTACGAGGAAGAATGACTTTCTGTTGACTGCGCACTTGCAGCACCTTGTTTATTAACATGGGGACTTCCACAGCACCAAGAAGCTCAACTAGGAACTTCTACCATTTTCTTTGAGGAAAGGTGGAGAAAATTCTGCAAAGTCAGGCCATCACCCGATGTGGCAGCCCCTCTCCCAAAGTTAACCCTTCTCTGAGGGCAGTGATGGTGTAGGAGTGAGGGACCCTCTGCCCAGTAGGAGGAGAACAGATAGGGCAGGACTCTGCTCTACATGACATAGACTGAGGGAGGGGGCTCACGAACGGGGTGGGTACCAGGTTGCTTAGGAAGGCCCAAACCAATTGAATCATAGGTAGACTACATGGGGAACTTGCAGGCAAACTACCACTAAAGGCCATAAAGTTTGATTGTGACTTGTGGTGAACCTTTGAAGAGTTTCAAGAGATTTAGATCTTAATGGGAGTGTATAGCCTCGTCTTTCAAACATGGTGCCGCTGGTGGGTTTACATCATCGACCCTGCAGTTAGCAGCCCAATGCCTAACCCATAGAGCTACCAGCATCCCTGAACAAATAATCACACAGCCTGAAGATGAATACTTCAGCAGCTGGAGAAGTCAAGTAGTAAAAGTTCAAGTCAATGGGTTCAAACACAGCAATGACTGAGGGCACACTGACTCTTTGTTGAAGGCTAACACCACCATGCTGCCACAGATACCACAGAAGAGTACAGACCAATATCTCTTATGAAACTAGATGCAAAAATCCTCAAAACATACCAGCGATCCAAGTCTAGTAGCCTGTTAAAAGGATTGTACACCACGATAACGTGTGATTTATCCCAGGAAACTCAGTCCAAAGTAAGAAAGTCAAACAGGTGGACCCACAATTCCCTCGGAGTAATTCAGGTCTGGAGATGCATAGATCAGTGTTGCTATTCAGGACCTGGGCTACCTTGCAGTAATTCCCTGGTGGCACGGACAGGTAAGAGTTAGACTGTTCACCACAAATCTGGAGGTTCGAACTCACCAGCCACTCCCTAGGAGGATGCTGAGGCTATCTGCTCCCTTTAGGACTTCCAGCCTCAGAAACCTGCGGTGGGGTCGCTATGAGTGGGTGGTCAATAACAGTGGGTCGGTCTAAGTATGAACCCAAAGGCTAAGCCTCTACCCATTACAGACCCTGTCTAAAAAAACAGACCGTGGGATGTGCGTCCTTCCCCTCTGTCAAGAGAATGTCTGCGCACCTGCAGTGTGCTAGGCCCCAGGGAGCAAAGAGCAAACTACACACGTCTGGATGCAAACGGTGACCAGAATCAAAGTGAGCACGCCCTGGGACCTTCCCTGCAGCCAAACCTGTGCATTCCAGCTGCACTGGCCCAGGGGGCAGTGTGCGCAGAGGCCTGCCCAACAACCTTCAATGGCTCCCTTTCGCCCAGATTAAGGTCCACACTCCCCTCACGTCATCACTCTCTGGGCGCTAGCCCTAACCATCCAACCACCGCTAGATGTGTCCCTTGGCCTGTTGGTAGTGTGTGTCCATTTACAAGTTACAGCCAACCTCGGCGAATCCGTTCCCACTCATCGCAGCCCCACAGCAGCTTCCAAGGCTGCAGATCTTTACAGATGTGCGAAGCCTCGTTTTACTCTGATGGAGCCACGGGTAGGTCTGAACCACAGACCTTGTAGTTAGAAGTAGAATGCCACCTGGGCTCTTAATTGTCCTCAAAACCAAATCAAACTTGCCGCCATCAAGTTAATTCCCATTCATAGTGAGCCTAAGGCAGGGTAGAACTGCCCCTGTGGATTTCCAAGAGTGTAACTCTTTTTAAAATTATTATTAAATACTATTGGGGGGCTCTTACATATCTTATCACAACCCATACATTCATCCAGTGTGTCAAGCATATTTGCACATATGCTGCCATCAATTTCAAAGCATTCTCTTCCCACTTGAGCCCCTGATATCAGCTCCCCATTTCTTCCTCCTCCTACCCCCGCCTTCCCTCCCTAACGAACCCTTGATAAGTTATAGATTTTAAGAGTGTAACTCTTCTTGGGAGTAGAAAGCCTCATCTTTCTCTCGCAGAG